ACCGGATCTTCTATTTTTGGAGAGAAGTACGACAGATTTTATACTATGCAAGGGACGCTACGACTATCGAGAGTGGCACACTAGTACGAGGGGCTTTGCATTGTCCCGCACGAGTCTGCCTCACCGAGTGGCACATATCAAGTCCATTGGTAGAGTGACGTTATGCCGAACACGGAGATGAAGAGAAACATACGAGACACTTTGGACCGGTATCCGTTGTCGAAGGCATGCCGCGAGGTTCGATACCTAATCGGGAAAGACCGGCTACGTTGGTGTGGCACGGAGCGATGCCCGCGCTTGGACGAACGGCGTCAAGTGGCCCTATTGTCCGCCGAATGCAGGAGATGTCCCGAGATCTACGCGCGAGGCATCGGGACGACCGCGCCGAGCTTCGAGCAAGCGTCGCGCACCGTCGAAGATGTCGAAGAGCGTCGAAGGCGAAATCGAAGTGTTGGGTGACTGAGCCGAAGTGCCGGGCGGGATGCGATTGCTGAAAAGAGCTGTATCGGGGCCCAGAGGGGCTTGGCGCCTATCATCTCCTCCTTATTGAAATTTGGACCGTCCTCGGTCCTCCACGTGATGCGAGAAGCGTGATGATCGTGAACGGATCGAAGCGGCATGGCAACCCGTGTAGGCTTCGAACGCCATGTAGTCGGCGCTAAACGCTGCTCGAAAAGGGGTTATAAGCAGGATAGACTTAGCCTCATCTTCCCCAGTCCATCGTTCCCTCTTCGCTACCTCGCCGCACTACCTCGCATACTCCCTGCTTCGACGATGTCTTCTCGTTCCGCCACCCCTGCGTCGACTCCTTCGCTTGTCAACTGCCGCCTCGCCTCTCTGCTCGTGGTTCTCGAGGCTCCGCCGACCGCCGACGCCACGCTCGATGTGGTCGAAGAGTGGGCGCAAGACTTGTCGCCTCTCGTCGTAAGTTGCTCATAATCTGCATAACCCGACTAACTGTTTGTTTTCGAACAGCTCGCCTATCGCAAGGCTCTGGGCGCCATCCGCGACAAGGAGACGGAGCTGCGCGTGGCCGCCGCCGTCAAACAGCTCGCCGAGCGGGCGTCGGGGTCGTGGGTAGAGTGGGCGCGCGGTGACTGGCCCGAGCTCGCGACCGCCATCGACACCGAGGTCGAACGACGCGCCGAAGAGCAGAAGCGCCTCGCCGAGGAGGAAGCACAACGCGCCAAAGAGGCTGCGAAGCGTGCGAAAGCCGCCGAAGACCGTCGCCTCGAAGACGAGCGGCGTCGAAAGGACGAAGAGGACCGTTGCAAGCAGGCTGCCGAAGACGAGCGTCGCGAACAAGAGGCCGCCAACGAGGAGTTGGCGAAGATCGCGGCCGCTGAGGGACTCCTCCCTGACCCCGCGCCTGCCGGTGCCGACAAGGGGAAAGGGCGCGCGAGGGTCGACGACGAGGTCACCGAGTTGTCGGATGACCCTTCGGTCGTAAGTTTTCTCTTCTGTCGTCATTCGATTGCTAATCTCTCTTTCGTAGAAGACTCCGCGGACGCTCGAACGTCCGTTCGTGATGACGGAGGTCGATATGGCCGCCGTTGCGCTTGCGAAGCGTCGGGCCGGACAGAAGGTAAGCTCGACTCTCCGTCGAAGCTGTTCAATACTAACTTCTCGATAGTGTGATCGTTGCGCCGGCTACCGCTCGGCCCCGGTCGAGTGCATGTGGGTCGAGAACACCACGACTTGCGAGAGGTGCGCGCAATTCCAGCAGGGCTGCTACTTCGACAAGGTGTCTGTGCTTGGCAAGACAAAGAAAACGCGCGGCGGGGGATCGACTACAAAAAAGCGCAGTAAGTTGTTTCCTCTGGGTGTCCTAACCTTGGCTGACGTCTTAGTAGTTCGGCCGTCCTCTCCCGTGCCTTCGGTCGCAGAATCGAGTGGTTTGAAGAAGCGTCGAGTCGACGAGCCTCCACGCCCATTGCTACGACTGCCTCTCGATGGGGCCGGACGCCTTGGCCTGGAACAGGACGACCTCGATGCGCTCAGCCTCGACGACGAGTCGCGGGGGATCATTCGCGTCATCCG